ATTTCAAGCGATTTTGTGGCTCAAAATCGATTTGAACTAATTTAAATCGATTTTGGCCGATTCTGTCACTCAAAATCGATTACGCAAGAATCGATTTTCAGTCATTTTGATACCCAAAACCAGCTTTTCCCCCATTGAAAATGGCTGAAAATTGATTCTTGCGTAATCGATTTTGAGTGACAGAATCGGCCAAAATCGATTTAAATTAGTTCAAATCGATTTTGAGCCACAAAATCGCTTGAAATCGATTTGAAATCGATTTAAATCTATTACAGTGGTCCAAAATCGATTTAAATCGCTCAAAATCGGCTAAAATCGAAAAGAGCTCCAAATCAGCTTTTCCCCCCTTGGATCCGATTCAACTTGCGTTGATTTTCAAACAAAATTCTGACACTGACTTTTCGACATTCTGTAACACTTCACATCTGGTTTATGGGTTCATCAGTAAGAACTTGAGTATCTTAAGTTTGAGATCAAGGATGAAGTGTCCTGGTGACAAAACGAAACTCAATAAAGTTCAATAAAAGTATGTTTGTGATACTTCATACTGAAGTCTCGAACGCAAAGGTCAATCATGCGGATCACTTTTTTTAAATTTCTTCCATAACGCTTTAAAAAGAAACAAGTTCCAAATCATGCAACAGATGTAGAATAAAAAGTTGCAAGCGTTAAGTGTTGTTCGTTCTCTTGGAAAAAGACTTATATTTTAATGTAAAATAGAAGAATCGAAAGAATAGGATGAACTTTTAGCAGCCTTGGTCGTTACTTACGGGCAATGGCTGACATTTATCACAAGACTTATACACAGGTTGGTACAAGATTGAGCGCCAAATTTTGTCTAAAAAAATTCATCCCAAGGAAACCTAAAAGGACCTTAAAAAAAGAAAACACTGAGAAACTCATTCTTTATGACCCACGCGTTAGACTATGGAAATAATGTGAACTTCGGAGCGCACAAAGTGAATTTTACGTTTTTCACTCGTGTACAAAGAATGGAAAACGCCAGTTAATTTTGTTTCAGACAGTTAATCTGGTATTCTGGATAATAATGGGCCTCAATAAGACGCACCCAAAATATTTTTGAACTATCCCGACCTTTTGGAAAACAAGTTTTGAATGCAACGAGGAAGAATAATTTTGAAATATGAAAATCGAAAAGCACGAGCTCAATTTGGTCGAAAATATAAAAAATGTAAAATATCGATCTTGGATCTTATTTTACTGTTATGAAAATCGTATGTTTACAATAATGACTGTTCTTTTTCTTCTTATTCTACTGATGCCATATGTCTCGGTCAGTACTATAAGTTAAGCTCTTTTCTATTCTTTTGACGTCTTGTTATGCCCTGTCCTAATGGCATCATTACTCTTCTTTTCTATCTGTTCCTCGTGTGTTCAACTACACGTAGATTTTATAGTGTGTTTAGCCGTTGGCGTAGATAGCTGTGCTTTTAAGAGTGTTATTATGGAATTACTAAATAAAGTGAACAAGATAGAAAACTAGTCAAGTTTAGAATTAGAGAGTAACATTTACCGATTCAAGAGCTTTCAATAGCACTAGAATATAGGCAATTACTTGTAGTTTATCTGTATGGCAAAGTTAGCCTGTTAAACTGCAGCAAAACTGAGGTAACATTACCAACAGAAGAATTTTTTGTATTTTCACAAGAAATTTCTAGCTCAGCCGCATACCCAGTCACACAGTTTTTTAAGATTTTTTCTTAAATAGTGCATAAGAAATAAAGATACTTTTCAACTAAGTAGGTTTTCTACATAAGTGAGCTTCTCAATTTGTAATAGCTAAAATAAGAACCGCAGTTGTAGACATCTTTGGATAAGAAAATGAACTAGAGTCGTTTCTCTTATAAACTCAGAAAGCATACACTGCTGAATGCATTGTCTTCTGGAGATTCGGAATATGATATTATTTTTGAAAAAGTTTTCTGAATAAAAAATACTGAAAAATGGCAAAATATTAAGAATCAATTTGCTACTGTTTGTTTAAGAATTCAAAATCACACAATATTTGAGCAGAAAGTTTTCAATCATACTTCTAGAATATGTGGCTAATAATGTGAGGAAGTTTTCGTACAATTTTCTTCTTGTTACGCGAAGTATCAAAGTAATTATGGGCTCGATATTAGAAGTGATGATTTGGAAAAATTAGACTTCAGTTTACTTTTATATTCGGGTTTTAGAGACTTGAAAGCATTATCATCCATCTACCTCATACTTATAAATATACAGTAAGTAATGCGCCATTGGATAATCTATGAGATAATGTTACAAAGTAAGGATACAAAGAGAAAAAGAAATTTTTTTCAATATGGATACCAAAACTTTTGTTGCATTCTTAACTTATTTTCCAAAAGGTCGGGATAGTTCAAAAATATTTTAGTGAGTGCGTCTTAATGAGGCCCGTTATTATCCAGAATATCAGATTAACTGTTTGTATTATTACTATAACTGGCATTCATTATTCTGTGACATGAAATTTTGAAGAACTTTCTGTTTTTAATCCGAAATACCAAAAGGTTGCTATATCATTGTTATGTTAATTCTTTGGTTACTATACGTACCTTCTTTGATTGTTTCATCTTGTTTTTCTATATTTAATTCTTTCGTTGAACTGGTAATTCTTACTATTAATTTTCCCATATTTATTGTTTGATTATAAATGGCAAAAGCATCCTTCACTTGTGATGCTTCAAATATTGTTAGTGGTGATATCGGTTTCAGTGTGCCTGTTTCAAACTTTTCTACGAGCTTTTTTAGCATATGATTAATTTTTTGCGAGCAACTTTGTTGATATGTTACCAAATCCAGTACATGAAAACTGCAATCTGATTTCAGCTCGAAGAGAGATATTTTTGAACTGGAATAGACATCTCGTTTTCCAATTTCAATAAAATGTCCATGTGGTGCCAGCAATTTGATAGATTCTTGAAGTAGAACACCCGCCAGTGAATTCAGTACAACGTCTACACCATTCGGAATTATTCGACGAACATTCGATGCAAATGACAAATCACGACTATTAAACACATATGTTACGCCACATTTTTCTTTTAAAAATGTTCGTTTGTCTTCTGTACCAGCTGTACAAATCACATTAGCGCCTATCATTTGACAATACTGTATCGCGGCTAGTCCAACTGCGCCCGATGCCGCATGAATTAAAATACTCTGACCTTGTGCTAAACGAGCACGATCTTCAAGAGCGAGCATTACAGTAAGAAACGCTGTTGGTACTCCACTAGCCTCTTCCATTGTGAAATTAGATGGTATATGACTTATCTGTGTTTGATCAACCACTATGTATGACTTGAATGCACCAACACTGATTGTTACTCCAAAAACTTTATCACCTATTTTAAATGAATTCTCTACATTTGCTCCCCTGCCTACAATTGTACCAGAGAAATCCGATCCAATTTCTTCATCTCTCGCGTTCCCATCTTGTTTCATATATTCCACTCCCAATTGTCTAATATGTGGATAAAGTCCTCTTGCTTTTAATACGTCACGAAAATTGATGCCAACACTATGGATTTTTACTTCAATTTGTGTTTCTCCTAGGGATACTCTATTCGGTGTCAACGTTTTCCATTTGAGATCAGCTAAAAATCTTGATTGTGGTACATCCAGCTGAAATTCTACACTCTCACAATCATCACTGGGAATAAGTGTTCTTGTTTGGTGGATGTTTTCCTTTTCTTCTTTTTGAATCTTAAGTTTTTTCAACGTTGGTACATATCGTTCAATTTCATGAGTATTGATGTTCTGATATAGTGAAACTTCCTCGTTTTGTCGAGTAGTTGGTGATGAAGAAATAAACGATAATATTTCTCTCACTACTTCACTGATTAGAACAACATTCGACGAAGAAATATCAATTAATTCCAGGCAATGGCGTGGATATTCTACCATAACAGACCGTGTAAAACCAATTATCGATGATTGCACCGGATCAAAATTGCTGGTGTTACACATAACCGGCTGAGCATTCTGACTCAAGACAAATACATGTGGTGGTCTGAATTCTTTCCCATATTGTTGAGATGCTTGAAGAATATGCATCAATGATCCACAACATAGCGTTTCTTCTTGTTCGCCCAATGCTTGTAAATGTTGACCGACATCTAATGATTCCAAATCTAGTGGCCAAGCAAACAATATATTGAGCAGAGAATGATGTGCATCATTCATATCGTGAAAAATAGTTCGTATATCATCGCTAATATTATTAATTTGAATATTGCGAAATTGACTTTCAATTTTTCTGTTAGAAACAAGAATTATTTTCTTCCGATCATAACAATGTTCGGCCAACAATTGTTCGGCAATTTTCTCACCAATTTTTTGTTTTTCATCACAGAATATAATCCATGCTTGTTGTTCTCGCTCTAAAAGTGTTAAAGATTTTGACTTCTGTACAACAATAGTTGTTGTACCAAATTTGGATGTAGCCGAAACAAAATTTTCGAATCCGTTGACGATTTCAAAAGCCTGAGCCCATTTATCTACGGTCATTATTGCACGTTTTGAGTCTTGTCGAATTTGATCATCAGAACCGAATTCCCACCATTGAGGTAACAGGCCAAAAATTAAATCAAGAAACGGTATTGGTCTTGTTAATTCGACTAATGTGACTAATCCGCTTGGTACAAGTAATTTTCGAATATTCGTGAGTGAATTTACAATGTTTGATGTAGCATGTATAACTTGCGCAGCAAAAATAATATCAAACGATTCCAGTTTCAAATCGTTCGGTAATTTTTCAATATCAAGCTGTTTGTGTGTAATCTCTAGAAGGTTGTTTTTGTTTTTCTCACCAAGAATGTTGGCAAATAGTTCTCGTGCTTTACTGAAAAAAGCCGGCGATACATCAGTGAATGTATACTCAATTCGAATATTTGTTTTATTAGCAAAATCGAGTAGAATATTTAAAATACCTACAGTAGATCCACCAGTGCCACCACCCACTTCCAACACTTTTAACACTCGGCATTTTTTATCATATTCGTTTATTTTTTGTTCAAGGTATTGTGTTAATGCTGAAAATGTCAAACTTGTATTTGTGTCTGATGTTATTGAATAAAATTGTTTTAATAAATGTTCATTTTCTTGCGCGAATACCACTTGTAATGCGTCTAATTTACCAGTTAATATATCGGCGAGATTTGATCCGCAAACAGAAACTAAAGATATAATGGGACTTGATAATGGATATTGTTTTAAAAGTTGTAAATGATACATATCGATTGTATGTTTGGTTACTATTGTTGAATCACTTAAAAAATTGTATTGGTCATCGATGTAACCTTTACTCTGAATTAGATTCATGCAAGAGTCGAGTAATTTGTGGTACTTTCCAACAATGAGTGATTCCAACGACTGTTTGCTAAGAGTCTTGACCATATTTAACTTTAATAGATTTTTTACCATAAGTAATACGTATTGAGCTACAAAAGTATTTACAGAATCAATTGAATTTGCTGTCATTTCTTTATCGCTCTCGGAAAAACCGTCCTCTATTAGCGTACAAATGCTTTTTAGCAGGGTATCTGACGGGGGCAATATGTCAGTGCTGTTGTATAAAAGATCCGAGCGTTCCCAACATGGTTTCAGACAATAGTCGTCCATCAGTATTTCAAGATCAACATTATCGGTTGCTTGTATTGAAACAGAAACCGTTTCGTGTAATTTTTCGAATATTGATTTTGAACGATCCTTGTTCGTATCCCTTGGTGGAATTTGTTGTATTTTAATACCGTCAAATATGGCAATGATTTCGGGCTTTGATCCAGATTTTTTATCGTAAATGAGCATATCAGCTGTGTACGTTTCTTCAGTTGTTACTCCACGAATAGGTAAATGGAAAGTGGTATATGCAAAACACTGCCGATCAAGAACATTTTTATCACACACAACAAGTCGTTGTATTGAAACGGGTACAAAAGTATCGTTGTTGGATAAACTAATCAACGAACTTTGTAAACAAGAATCCATTAATGATGGATGTAAATAATATTTCTCATAATCTGGCTGTTCTGACATGACAACTGATGCCAATATTTGTGATTTTGTCGCAGAAATTGATTTGATATTTTGAAAACATGGTCCATATTGATAGTCATGATTAGTAAAACATTTATATAAATTAATGATTTCTTCATCACTAGTTATTGTCCATTCACAATTGTTCGATATATCTTGTTCAATCAATGGAATATTATAATAAGATGTCGACAATAACACATCAGCTTTTATATTAATCGAACCCGAACAGTGTAATATCCAATTTTTTGATGAATAATCGTATAAATTAGTATCAGTTGCAGTCTTACCATCGGTGCTTGTAAAATTTCTATGTCTGCTATAGATAAAAAAATCTTTAAATGGCATTCTAATAACCGTATGTATTTCGTTCAATTCATCCGTTTTTAGAATCAAGGCACTTGTTATCTGAATATTTTCAAATGTAATTGTAGAATTAGTCTTGTTTGTCTTTGATAAATTAGATAAAAGTTCTCTAACAGCAGCTATTGCCACTTCAATGAAACCTGTAGCTGGAAACAGAATGTTTCCTTGGACTTTGTGATCACGAAGATATGAATGTTGAGAAAAATCCAGATTCAAAACATTGTTCCATGTTGGCTGTTGATTATTCCACGAATAGACTCCAAGCAATGGATGATGCTGTTTTTGCGTTATTTTTCTATTTAGTGTCGATTCTTCAGTTTCTAACCAGCATGTATGGGTCTCGAATGAATACAGAGGCAGCTCGTCGAGTTTTGACGAAATTGATAGCTGACCGTTTTGTTTTGAATACAGACGTGTGCGCCAAAACTTTTTTAGATCTATTGAATTTGGAAGTAGATGACACAGAGACGTTAGTAGTGTTTGTTGCTCATTTTCTTTACGTTTCAATGAATGTAGGATCAATGGCTGTTGTTGAACAGGCAACGATTGAAAACATTCTTGAAGGGACGAAGCTAGCACTGGATGAGGTGACATTTCCAAAAATATTCGAATTTGGTCCGATTTGAAATCATTCATCATTGCTCGAATCGTCTTATTAAATTCAACCGCATGTCGTACATTCTGCCACCAATAATCACCATTGAATGCGCATTTACCATCATCAATACAACAGCCTGTTACAGTTGAATAAATAGTGGCTCTTGAACAAGTCATGTCAAATACATCCGATGACTGTATTGGACATCCTTTAATATTAGCAAGCGAAGCCAGAAGATCTTTTTGAATATCAAACCTTTCCATTTGTTGGCTATGAAATGCATTTTCTATTTGTAACCATTTTTTGAACACGTTTGGCTTCAATGTTGTAAGAACACTGTGGATTTCTTCAATTGCATCGCTATCACCACTCAACGTTACTGACTGTTGACTATTGATGGCTGCTACTGCCACTCGATCCTCAATACCATCTAACAACTGCCGTGCTTCCGTCTCACTCAATGAGGCGGCTAACATTCTTCCCTTTTGTCGTGTATTACGATGTTGTAAACGTGCACGATGATAGGCGATTTGAACAGCTTCTTTTAATGTTAGCCGGCCTCCGACATAAGCGGCGGCGATCTCACCAGCCGAATGTCCGATGATTACTCGTGGATAAACACCCCAGGACACCCACAATGCAGCTAGTCCTACTTGCACGGCAAACAGCGCTGGCTGTGCAATGTTCGTATCGTTGATTCTAGAGCTTTGATCGTCCGTCGTGTCAATCAATTCTTTTTTGAGAGACCAATCTTTGTTTATAGCTGACAGTTCACCATCGATCCGATCAATCGATTGACGAAATACTGGCTCAGAATTATACAATTCTCGACCCATTGCCCACCACTGTGGGCCCTGGCCACTGAATACAAAACAAATATTAGCCTTTTGATTTGTGGATACTAATGATGATGGCTCAGTTGTTTCTATTATACCCAAACAAGTTTCATCGGCCATATATGACGTGAGTTGATTTTTCAACTGATTACTATTTGCAAATACAAATGATGTGCAGTGAGAAAAGGTCATTGTGCGCTCAAATAATAGTTTAAAACATAACTGTGCAAGAAACGATTGTGTTTCAACTAATTCTTTAGGCAATTTTAGAAACCAAGCAAAAAACGTTTCTATACATTTTTTCATTGATACATTGCTTTTTGCTAAATACATAGAAAATTTTGCAAGGAAATCACAATTAATCTTGCAAGTTAGGTGTATTAACTTACTTGAGAAGGAGATGATATAATCTTGTTTACTTATGGTGTTATCATTTTGATTAGGACCATAGTGATGAGCCTTGACGTATTCTGTCACGACTGCATGTGCATTATTACCTCCAATACCAAATGAATTTATTCCGAGGGTAACAGCCGTCTTTGGAAATGGCACACATTGAGTGACGACATGTAAATTGTAGTCTTTGGCTCGAATTTTTGGATTCATTTTTGTGAAATTCATATTAGGCGGAATTAGTCGATTTTTCATACAAAGACAAACTTTGATCAGGGCAGCAACACCCGCAGTTCCTTCTGTGTGACCAATATTACTTTTAACAGAGCCGATGAGAAGTGGCGGATCATATTGTGATCGATTAAAGAATTTTCCAAGTGCATTCGCTTCAATCGGATCACCAACACTCGTACCTGTTCCATGAGCTTCGATATAGAAGATGTCTTTTCTATCTGTATGCTTACGAGAATAGATTTCATTGAGTAGTAAATTTTGCCCATAAGGCGATGGAACAACATAACTATTTTTCTGGTTATTTCCATCATGATTAGATATTACATCACGAATTACACAATAAATTCGGTTACCATCACGCTCAGCATCACTTAATTTCTTAAGTAACACCAAACCAACTCCTTCACCTGGAATTAAAAGCAGGATGAAACAAATGTTTTCAGCGTTGCGCCATTACCCTGCGCTCTTTTGCAATTCGAGAATTGATAAAATGTTCCGAGAGACGCTTCACAGAGTGACCTCATCGTAAACTATTTCAGCTGTCACTTACAACCAACCCATATTTCATTTGTGAGGCCATTTAAGGGAGAGCTCGTGGAGAATCAAGAATGTCGAAAACAAGATTTCCACCTGTGTCTCCTGGGTTTTCCATATGAAAAAATATTTTTGTCTAGAGAAGCTCTCCTGACAGAGAGATTTTGACTTTATTCCAAACCTCTAAAAATGTTCTCAAAAAAGACTCAGTTGTTAAATTGTTGAATGTGAAAGTTGAACAAAGTGTTTCAAACGTAAAAACTTAAATAAAATGTACGACTTTCTTGACTAAAACAAATTTACAATAAAAAAAATGAAATTATTGAATTTTCATAATTTCACAATATGAAATTTTTCTTTGAATCTTCATATCTTTTGCAAAGAATGCCCGTACGCAATCTCCGAAAATGTGTGTTAGGGGAGCAGAGGATGTTAGTCGAGACTTTGGAGGGGATTGCTCGAATTAGTTTTAGCAACTCGCTCAAAAAGCGCACAAGTTGCTCCAAAAAGCAAGATGGGATGTAAGTCTCCGTCACTGTCAATAAGGAGTGGAGAATTAAAAACACCTTTTTCGCTCGATTTCTGTTATTTAAACCCACACCCCTCCTTAGTTACATACTATTCTTTCCCTGAGAGGAATTTTATAAATAATTTGGGTCAGTCAGGGAAGCGTTGGAGATGGCGAGTCGTAAAGGAGAAAAGCCGGAAAACAGACTTCCATCAGACCGATCATAAACCTTGTTGAGGAACTTTGAGAAAATGGGTTATCATATTTATTTTATGATCTCTTTACATGACGAAAAATTCGCGATTTCACCATTTATAATTTTAGGTGGGATGACAAAAGTAATGAACATGTATATAATACATGTATATAATATTGAAAGTTAAGTCGAAACTTCTAAAATTCATAATTTATTTTTTCCTCTACGATTCTCCACTCCCGAAATTGATCTGATTGACTCAAATTGTTTATGAAACGCCTCCCAAGGATGGAACAGTAAGAAAATCGAATGAATTTAACTTCGAGACGAGATCTTTAGCCTTTAACCCTATCTTACAATGGTCAGCATCTGGAGAAAATTTACGTTGCCTACTTGTTAACCTAATAACAGGCCCCATGAAGGGCAATGTAGCAATCTCAAGGCTATTTGTTTTATATTAAATTTGTAATATCATCGTATCGAAATAATTAAAAAATGATCCTATTTATAAAATCACGAACAATGAACAAGCAAAACAGCGCTTACCATACCAAAAATCTACTACTATATTAACCTAAGAACAATGTTTACCTTTCGCATAACCATTAGCATCTGCGGAAAATGAACGCGATCTGCCATCTGAAGAGACCACAGTAGAAATTGAAGCCGCACAAAACGTTTCGGGTCTGTAATTTAAATTTGTTCCACCGGCAACCACCAGCGTTGCTTCACCATTTCTCAGTGTTTGAATTCCAAGATGAACAGTTTGAAGTGAAGATGAACAAGCCGTATCCATTGCAATACAGGGTCCATGAAGATCAAAATGGTAAGAAAGGCGTGAAGCAGCATTATAAACGCCCACGTTTGGCTGCATTGTCCGATTTAAAGTATCAATACTGTGTTTAAACATGCTTACTTGATGGTCAGTTGAAAACTGGCCAATGTAAACGGCTGTTTGACTACTCTTAATTTGTTCTATGGGAATACCCGCGTCCTCCATGAGATGAACGAATTTTGAGAGCAAGAGACGATGACCTGGATCAACAGCGGCCGCTTCACCTTCACTGATGCCAAAGAAAGATGGATCAAATGTGTCTAACATATCATGGGCTATAAAATATCCACGACGTATCAAGTCTTTTTTAATCAATGGATTTTTGATTAGTAAGGGTGACGCATAGGCTTCAATATCTGTGACTCTCTCTTTCGGTATTTCGCTTCCAACATCGACGCTATTAACCAGAACATCCCAAAATGATTGTGGAGAATTGATACCACCAGCAAACGTACACGAAATGCCAATTATAGCTATTGGTTCTAATGCATCCTCAGCATTGCACGAAACGAAATCACATTTAGACATAATATTTTATATTTTTGATTATTTTCCGACTCCTATTTAAAAAGAAAAAGGAAAATTTTACTGGTATCACAGAGACTCTATTCCACCTTGGTTATAAAAGGCTCCTCATACAGATAACGAATTTAGGTTCATCTACATATTCGCAGAGAGACCAATTCAGTTCTATTTATTTAGCAAAAATGAAAGGCTCTGGCAAAACGTTTACAAAAAAGTTACTTGAAATTTCAGGTATCTGACGGCAACTTACTCTGGTAGCCTCTAATAACAAAAAAACATAAATAGCGGTCGGTATAAAATATGAAACAATGTTCGAGGCCTTCCAGGCTGAAGAAAAGTACCATCGCTATTTGATTTCTTTTTCCATTTAGATCCCGTGCTCCAGCACTGTTCGAGAAGTACGGCTTGTCCAGCTAACGGTATCCTTTTTTAGCTCTTTTTCAAAAGATTATTGCAGTAAAGCTACAAACTAATCTAAAATTGCAACTACATAATTAAGTACATTAAACATTTCTCTACAAAATGAAAAGTGTCTTGGCTCTGAATGTTGATTAGTTATGAAAATACAGCTGTTGTGCAAGCAGCCCCAAAAATAGATTTTGAAGCTATCTGAAAAACGTGTCTGAAAGACTGAAGACGAGCAGGCGAAAATTCAACAGGTATACCAGTTTGTACAAATTGTTTGCTCTACAAGATGTGATAACTTGTAGTTGCATTTTTAGATTAGTTTGTAGCTTTACTGCAATAATCTTTTGAAAAAGAGCGAAAAAAGGATACCATTAGCTGAACAAGCCGAGTGACACTTATTGAAACATGGGTATTAGAATATGAAAAAAATATGTAACATGATATATAGTCACAGAATGGTGGTGATGGGTTTTATATGGATTGCGCCTATCGGTCGCTGCCGAAATTTCACTAAAAATTCAATATCTCGCGTTCCTCTTGAAAGTCCAAAGTTTTTCTTTTGCCGTTTTGTCACCCCGTTCTTCCAGGATCTACCCTAAAAGTCTGAGCATTATTGCGCTGGTTACGCACGAGATAATGAATGCTGAAGTAGTAGCAGTAGCGCCATCTATAGCATGATAGTAAAACGGCCTCTAGAGTCCGGACTTGCACTGTTTTCTAGCCTGATGCAAGTTGTATTTGTGCTGAAATTTTCATGTCTCTAAGTCAAACCGTTAGAAAATAACACACTCAAGATTAAACGCTAATTGATCCCAATTCACCACCCAAAAAACTGTCAGACTCATTTTCATACTATGTTTTGAAAATGTTGTTGGAAACAGCGAAACGTTGACGTTAATACTGAAATAAATATATCGTGTTTAAAATTGCTTAAAATTGTTTAAAATTATCGCAATAATCTTCTTATTCAAATTATTACCCATTACCAAAAAGAATTATTTATCAATTCAATCGGGCACGTATTTTCCTATTCTAATTTACACGCTTTTCTGCCTAAAACTAATATAGATTCTAAATTAAATGGGGTATTAGCTGTTCGTAGGGGGATCGGACTCCAGGATAGGAGCTATGCAGTTTTTGTTAATGAAGACTTTGATTCTGTAATCTCTTTTAAAAATTTTACAGTATCGAAAACTACCCGGGTTCCATAGTTTATTTGCATAAGAAAATATCTGGTTTCTCAAAAATATTCTCTGCTAAGTAATGAGAAAAATGTGTATCCTGTACATGAAGCGAATATCACAAGCATCGTTTTATATGAGAAACAACAAATTTTCTTTTTATTCCAGTGCTCTGGAAACAGGAAATTTTGTTTATTTTTATTTCCTGAATGCTTTCACCGTGCAATAATGAAAGTTTCACCTAACTAACTGTTTATCATTTTCAAAATATACCATGAACGATTATTTTTACATCATGTCATTCAGGAACAAAAAATAAATAAAAGTTATAGTCATCGGAGAAATGGCAAGAAAGAAAAAGAGGTAAGAGTGGGAAAGCAAAATCTTAATTCAGGGTCTATAATTGTTGTATTGTTTAGGCAAACACTTGAAAAACACACCATCACACCTATCAAAAAAAGTTAATTGATTACCGTAAAAGATTTTCGTCAGCTTATTTAACAGAAAACAAAAGTTGTTTTCAATTGTCCCCAATGACTTGATTGTATTTGTGAGATTATCTGAATATAGGCACAGATTAATGTAATATCGAAGTAACGACAAATCGTTATAAAAAAATGTCAAGAAAGAAGATACACTGGTATGAGAGGGTACAAGGTTGTCCGATGAGGCTTTTCGTCTTTCTAGTGCTTTTTTTGTCACAGTTCAGTAGTTTCTTTAAAGCGATAGGTTAAGGAGATAGGAGAAGAAACAGAAGATAGAAAAAAAACGAAATCAAAAACTTTTGGTCATATAATACAGAACGCAAGAAAAAATTTATTTAGATCAATTACACGAGAAGTAGGAAAGAAGTTTGTTGAAAGAAGAGACTGAAACTGATGACCCGTCAGACGCGCTCTTCTCCCGCTTTTAGATTTAAGAAAGAAAGGACGGGGTGCAATAAAAACGAGGATCGGACCCATTTTAGATCTTCTCGAAAGGTATCTAGAATGAAAGAGCATACAATTTTATGGCGTTCTACATCCTTAGTTCAGCTTCGGACCTCATATCTGTCAGAAAAGCCATCAGCTTTGAACAATAACTCTATGTGCCCATTCCGAGGCGTTTTTCGTAATTTTCCTTTCCAATCTTCAAAACCTCTTCTTT